TCCCTTTGCTTTGCATGTGTGTTAAACTTAAGCACAAATAGATAACTATGTTAACTTATATAACCATCAAAGAATTGCTGAATATATAAAAAAAAAAATAACATAACATTTGACTTTGCAAATTGACACTTTGAAATTGGCTGCTTTAATTAAAGAGACAGTATGTCAGACACTCCACCCTCAGGATGTTGTTTGGTCAAGTAGATGGCTTTAACTAGAGCCATCTACTTGAATTTAACATCAGACAAAGAGTTCACAGGGTTTATGTCTATGGCATGAAACTTTGATGCTCACTAGGATCCAGGTCTTAATCGGTTATTAGCACGCTCATTTCCACGCAGCTGCACTTCAATTTCTGCTTGGACAAAGTCTCTCAATTTGATTTAAGAAAAAACAGAAACTTGAAAATGAGCCAGCATCAAATTACTCAAACGTCCCCCAGGTCACTTCTAGACAAAGAAGATTTGTTCTAACGCAGATCATTAAGTGTGAGAGAAGAAAGTAAAAACAGAAAGTGACAGAAAAAATATAAATGCCTCCTTTTAGCGTATATAAGCACATCCCTCTTGAACGACAGTGCGAACACAAAAGCTCCACTCTTTCTCCTTAACTGTCCTCTTTTTCTTTAAGTGGTACCAGACGTAGGCATTTCTTCATTCAGCTCATTCAAACTGAGGCAACTTGCCATTCTTTATTTATTTAACAAAACGAGCGGTAAAAGCCAAACATTAGGTCATGGAACATTTTCACCCCGAGAAATAAGTCACCGCCTTCAATGAGACATCAAAACCAGTTGGAGTATTCTCCTGCAAGAAAATATGAGCTGGTGAGGAACTTTCTCAAAGTCAAGTGGTGCTGTGGGACTTTTTCCTGTTATTTGAATACGACTTTCAACAGTGTGGTGCACATGCGTTTCCAATTAGGAGCTCAGAGCCAACGACCAGAGCTGGGCCCCACTCAGCCGTTCCACGACTGACCAAGTCTCAGGAAATGTTAAACAGGCATCATAACCGTGACAGAGACAGCAGATTTTTCAAAAGCCTTTGCTCTCTAAACAATAATTAAGACATCACAGTGGACTGATTATGTAGACTGCAAAAAATGCACAAACCTAAATAGAGGAGAGAGCACATAATTAATCATATGTTTCTGTGACACATTTATAGCTGGGGCGCTTACACAAAGCTATTTGTCTGTTTGGTAAATGCGTATGAAGCATGCTTAGAGTCAAAAGAAACAATATGTCAATGATGTTGATTTGTGGGGACCCTAATGAGAGCGCATGGTTTACATGAGGCAGTCAGAGCAGGATCCACTTCACTCACAGCAGCAATAACTCCCTGTGAGCCTGTCTCTGCTCAGACTTCAATCTCCAGGCCCTTAGGAGCTGTTGGAGGACTTTGATGTTCTGTCTAAATGAATTGACTGTGCTTCTTGATACAGCCCTCCAGTCAACTGACTCCCCCCCACCAATTCTGTCACCTGTGATAAACACCACGAGTGCTCAGAAGTACCAAAATTTGGATCACATGCTCAGAAAAGCCACATTTTCTTCTCCTCCCTCCAGCTTTGTAAATAACTGGGGAAAAAAATATGATTGTTGTTTTCCACTGCGCTCTATCTGAGCCCAGACCTTTTGATGTGTGTGGCTGCATTTGAGCAGGCAACACCAGGCTGGTTTTTGTTACCTTACAGCCCTGCAACATTCAGTAAGTAAGCCTTTATGCAGGATGGCCCCACAGGGCATGGTGTTTGTTAGAGCCAGGGCAAAGGCAACAACCTCCGATCCCCCCCTCCCCACTTTCTATCATACTGGAACACTTTCTTACAAAGAATCAGAGCCAGACAGCTCTAGGTGCATGTGGGTTCACTGACTTGATCCAAACAAGATCTAAGGCTTATTCAGGAGCACTTGTGTGCAGCAAGGAATGTGGACATGTAATAATTAATCTACTTTGAGAGAGCCCTACAATGTCACAGATGCTGACTTGAACATGCATAAGTACATGAACAGCAAACATTTTTATAATTCTAGCCTTAATGGAGGAGGACAAAACTAAAGTTATTGTTGAAGTTTTTGAAAGGACTGAAAATGAAAGTTTTCTTTTGAAGAGACCAAAACATGAAAAAAAATTTTTATGTCTGGCTGCACTGAACACACCATCCCCATGATGAAACATGGCGGACATCATGCTTAATTTCAGATATTTCTAGTTGTTTTGATAACAAAATATCAATATATCTCACCTGTAGGTTGTGCTAATTATAATCATAATATGAACACCTATTATTTTTTAATTTGTGGTACAGGCCTACAGCTTTTTTGGCACCTGAATTAACTGACTTCCACTAATTGCAAAATCTGTAACTTCTAGACTTTAATTTAATTTTATGCATAGTTTTTTTTAACTTGGGTACTTTTGCAATATTTTGATTGTAAAATTTCCATAAAATAGCCATTTGTTTGGCATTCTAACTAGCACTAATTTTGGAACCATAGTTTCAGTTCAATCTGAAACTTATACGTAAAAAAAAATATATATATATATCAATCTGAAAATTGACTCTTTTTTTGTTAAAGTGAGTGCATTCAGTCCTCAAGTCAAAAAATAAAATATTGATGGAGAAAATAAAATGCAGATGTAAATGGAAAACATAATGTTAAGGATGTAATATATGTAAAAACAACTATTTGTCAAGCAATATTACATTTTTGGTCTTTGTAAAAGGTACGGAAGATCAAAGATTTTCCCCTCTCAATTTTCTGTTTGGTCAATTTTCAAATTGAAGGTCTGTGAAAAGAATTGAAAATAGCTGTTTTGAGGTTTTTCAAAGAAGAACAGAAACTATTTATATCTTTTAAAACCTTTTGATTGCATCAAAGTCTCAGTGTTCTACCCAGTAAAACACACAGAAGCTCGGGTTACAATGTGACAACATGTGAAAAAGTTCAAAGGCTATGAACACTTCTGTGAGGATCCCTTTTAAGCTTCTTCTTGGTCAATTTCCATTTACCCAAATCCAATCAGTATCGATTCTGCATTTTCCTCAAGCTGAGGTAAAGGTTTTCCTTGAAATCTTAACTTGGATGAAACAGCAGTATTTAACCTATCACAGCCTCGGATGAGCTGGCTGGGTTTTTGAAGGGAAGTATGAGTTCTACAGGCGAAGGCATTGATCCTCCCACACCTTGGGTTTTTCCCAGCGTGTACAACGATTCCTGTGCAAAGCCTCTGAACACTTCTCTCCCTCCTCCAGCGGTCGATGGTGAGCAAACCTGCCCCTGGATCGAGCATCTCATTTAGTCGCCGGGCCCCTTTGATGTGGATTCAGTGCTGCGGTGCATATCATTTGTGTTTGAAGGTTCAGCTTCCACAATACAGCGAGGGTTTGAAGTTTCACATATTGCAGGTGCTACAATGTGATAATCCGGGAGCTGGTTATGCATTATACATTTTTTTTTTCATAAAAGAACACTATAAACTCAAAGTGAAATGTGGAAAAAGTCAGCGCTTGAAGGTATATATTGACAGAAACAGCTTCTGAGACTTCAGGGTGCGGGACGAAAACACTCTTGTTATCTCGAGCTTTTCAGAATCAGCTCTACATCTTCACACAGAAGGGGGTAAATATCCAAATAAACAGAGTAGAATAACATTTGACTAGGGCCTGCTATGCCGTTATGAGACCAATTTAGTTCACTGAGCACTTCTCTGGGGGCACAGAGAGGAGAAGGGCCATGACTGGTCCTTCTTCGTCTGCAAGGACCGGCAATAAAAATCTCTTTTGCCATCTAATTTCACACGGGACTTGATCTGCAGCTCGGGGGCAATTCCTGCAGTGTGCACTTAAATAAAAGATGAAACAATCATTGTCAACATCGATGTCTTAACAGGAAAAGATCACACTGCACATAATATATATGTCTTTCCAGTTGCTAGACAAATAGGAGAAGAAAATGGCTTCCTGCAGGAAAATTTAGCGATTATATTTCAAGAATTTTTTTTTTTTTAAAGAGCTCAGCCTTGCATCAAGCAAGCAGAGGATTTAAAATGGGGGGAGTCGTTGCCCAGAGAATAAAATCTCGTTGACATTTAACGTCTGTAAGAGACAGAGTTTTAAGCAAAGGTTTATGATCTTGATAATTAAAGAGTGTTTGTATGGAGGTGCAGAGCTAGGCGTCTCTTTTTAAAAGATGTTTACTGTCTCTAAAGCGAAGAGATGGTGGCAGCCTGAGGGCCTGCCTACTCTCTTTTTCCCAGCTCTGTCTCTATCTTTTGATAAATACACACAAACACACACATGGGTATATATGCAAACTCTGCACGCCGAACAAACACGCTCGGAAAAAAATTAAATAAAAACAACACATGCACACACAGACAAGAAAGACTTGCTGCTTTTCACAGGCATCAGCCTCTCAATTAGCTTCTGAACTCATTTCTCCCTCCTTGGAAGGGAATTATTTTTCAGCTGGATGCCTTTTCTTTGTTTACTGTGAGCAGACCCGAGCCTTATCAGCAGCTAATCACTGCATGTCAAATTCAAAGACTTGCTGCAGTCACTTTAGAGGAAAAAAAGGAATTAGTAAATAATCTTTTAAAGTTCAGATTGTCATTTTAGATTTGAACAATCACCAATTTCTTTAAGATGCACAAATCTGTCTAACAGCCAGGGAGAAGATCAGGGTTTGTTGGATATAATTTGTTGTGACACGTTAATTGCATCTACTTGTAATTCTCTCTAATTGATGCTTGATATGTCTCAGGAAATTAGGCCAACTAGATAACACTGTAAATATTATTAATCTTCCCCGCCTTTCCCTTTTCCATGGCAGGTCTGATGAATTCACAACAGCCAGAGCTGTAATGTGTCAATGTGCCGTGCAGCTATGCTGTGTATTCCCAGGGCTGCTGGGCTGACAAATCTAAGGTTACAGCCGTACCACTGTATATTCAAAACACATTCAGGCACACTGCAGAGAGTCAAAGATGACTAACCTGAGCGATTTTCACTGAGTTCTGGGTAGAGCCACCGGCATGGTATTCAACTTTGTTTCTCTTGACAATTTCTTCAAACCTGAAATAAGAACAGACCTGTCAGTCAATGTGAAGTTTAGGCGTATTTGTCCAAAATCCCGATTTTATGAATATGCAGGATAATGAAAATATACAGCTGTGTCTGTCATAGGATGCTCCCTTGACCCAGAACAGGTGGGAGACAGAAGGACTCTAACTCAAATACCATCACTGTATGGTGATGGTACAGTGATGGTATTTGAAAAAAGCTTCTTCCTAAGTGCACAAAGGAGCATTACCGCAGGCCATTCTTCCTAACAGCTGTAATACTGTATCACTATCACTGCTCCCAACAGCTTCCTGTTGGCTTTTACTCATTTCTGATGCTTTTATTTACACTTCTGGCAAAAACACTACGAAAACACAAAAAATAAGTAACAAGTGTTTGTTTTATTTTGTTAAAAATAAAACAATACTAACATACAAGAAACTTTTTGGCACAATATGGGAGCTTGTTTTAAGTCAATAATTTCTTAATATTGATGAAAAAGTGCTAGTTACAAGTGAAGAGATTACAAGACATTATTTCATTCTTAAAATGCCTTGTTCCACTGGCAGATTATGTCACTTAATACTAGTATTTTTCTCATCAATATTAAGGAATTATTGTCTTGAAAAAAGTTAATACTTCTTTCTGAAAAGTTAGTTTTGCCTTATTTCAACTATACCAAGATATTTGCACTGGAATTAGACCAAAAATACTTGAGATTGTATTTTTGCAGTATCATGTGTTATTTTTTTATTCACAAATACACATGCACATTTTGTATTTTTATTTTTTTTAAATTGTCCCACTTAGTTGCACCTTTATCTGGAACGAAGCATGTTAACTGTACAAGTGTACTTTTGCCCGTGCTTATTTGTCTTTATCTTTGTGTGAATTTACATGCTTCGATTGCTTGTCACTTTCCTGCTGCTACATCTAAAATTTCTCACAATGGAACAATAAAAGAATAGTTCTATTTCTTTCCTTTCTATGAAGCAAAAGATTTCAACCCCACTGAACGTTTTTACATTTCATATTCAAACATATTTATTGAGATCTGAGGTAGACAAACCAATTTTTAGAATAACTGTGCAGTGCACAATCATTTTTTATAACACCTTTTACTCTGATATGCCTTACTAATCTCTAGAGCACAATTTCTAAAAAATAAACTAAGACCTCAAAGGTCACTTGAAAATATAGTTAGCCACAAATACAAAACTACAAGAGCTTATAGTTCTTGCAAAACTACAAGAAAATTAACTAATCAACTGGACAAAGACAGTAATGCCCAGAAAATCAACCAGGAAGCTAACAGTAACTCTGGAAGAGCTGCAAAAATCAACGGCTCAGCTATAACTAATGCACTCCACAAAGCTGGTATTTATGAAAGAGTGGCAGGAAGAAGGCCAAAAAACCTAGCTTGAACCATTTGACTTTACACAAAATGCTATATATTGCAGGAACCACATGCCTCTAGACCACCTATAACTTTAAAAACATCTGTGCTGTGATTATAAAACAGCTTTCTCAATAATTATCACATTACAAGATGTGTAGGTGTGACTTGATAAGAGCTACTAATTAGTCACCTGAAATTTACTGGAAAAGGCTTAAAAACCTATAAAGACCAACTGTAGTCTGTGAAAACTTTGTCAAGTTCATTTGTTTACACTAGCTCTGCACATGACAATTCAAAGAACCTCAGAGAATTACAAGAAATGATATTAAAATTAACATTAAAGACAGGATGGATAGATAGCATTTGACAGATAAAAAGAGTACTTCTAATGGTAGTGTTTAAAAAGGGTAACTGGGGTCAAAATGTCAGTCTGAATAAAGCAAAAGAAGAATCGTTCACACATGGTTATAGTTAGCCATCTTGCATTAAATCAGGCTAAGCAGTAAAAGTTCAATGTTAGAAACATGATCTGCTTTCTTCAAAACAATACAACATGTAAAAGCAGCTATTAATCTTTAATAAGGCACAATGTGCTGCTGTTTCATAGGCTTTTGCTTTCAGGTCTGTTAAATAAATAGCTTTTATAGTTTCCTTGTGTACATAACTAGGGAAAGTATTTAGGGAGAGTCAACCTCTGACTAAATATTTTATGTCTAAACCATGCCAAAAAAAAGTTTAAAAGTGACAGTAAAAGACTAAACAAAACAGCAACAAAAAAAGAAAACAGGCTCCATTACCCTAAGGAATGGGCAGAAAACAACCATGGAGGTATCCAACACAAGGCACAGGAACACACTCTGGCCTACAGAGAAACACTGAGAGAGTTTGCGTACATTTCGTTTCATCGCTTCGTAATGCCATTTCAGACATCAATAGCGACCATGCTTCTGCGTAATATGATGCAAAGCTTGGCTCTGCTGCAAGATAGATGCTTATTATCTATGAAGCAGGAATGTGTATTTTCCACATCGTTCACACAAACAGGCTCCCAGAGGGCGTCCACCCCACTAAAGTAATTGACCAAGCTACAGTCAAGATGCAATGCCATGTTAGGTGTCTGGCTTCCCCCCCCCCCACTCAACTTTGAATCGAAGTGTGTCTACTCCAGGGGGAAAATAACGAAATGACATTAAAGTGAACAACACCATCTCCACTGGTGGGTGTGTAATTTCACTTTAAATAATTAGACTAAAAAAATAATATTAAAAAAAGCTTCCTGTCGAGATGCTTTTGTGTATTCCCAAAGCAGTTAAGTTGTTTTCCCAGGCATTTTAAGATTTAAAGATATTTTCAGGGATGCAGGATGTGAAGTGAAGCGCCTACATTTTATTCAGTGAAACATGCATCTGTTGTACATATAGTTCAAAGACAAGTGTAATCTGTATGCAAAGTGTATCGTGGCTTACCAACATGTAGAAGTCAGTGAAGTTCAATACCCCTAGTTCAACCTGGTTTAACTAAGCATGGCTGATTTTTGAGCTGGTGTGAAAGTAACCTTTACTGGTTCAAAGAAAGTCTACAGATCATGTCTCAAGGCAACGAGTCTACCCAGGGCAGAGTGCTCTGAATAATATAAAATAAATTAAAATAAAAAAATAAAAAACTTTTCTCACAAGTGGAATATATGCTAACCGGAGGAAAAAAAATTGTTCCTGAGACACCTGTTTTGACTCCTTGACAAAAGAAGAATTTAAGCACTGTGGGTGTTTATAACATGAAGGGAGCCGAGGGACTCCAGACCCATTTCAAATAGACACACAGCTTCAGAGGATTTGAGGGTCTTTTTTTTCCCACTAGAACTATTTGCTCCACCTTTCAGTGCAGACAGCATGGGGCCCTGCTCTTGGAAGCCTCGAAAAATCCCATCCGAAAAGGAGCAGCTGCCTCGAGACCTTTACACCCTCAAACATCATGTGATCCCACAGTAGTGACACCGTAAACGGCCCCCATGGCCATTTAGGGGTAGAAAATCCCTTTCCATCTACTGCAGCTTGAGCCGACTAAGCGATGGGAGGGACCAGAGAAAAAGAAATTGTTTTGAACAAAATGTCCTTAGCTACTAACCTCAGCTTTTAAAAGCTGCCGGCGTCGTTCAATGGAGGAGCAATTTCAACTATGCCACGCATTCCATGGTTAGTCTGTGTTATAAAACAAGAGCAGTCCAGCATACTGCCAGCTAAATGCAGAATGCACATTTTGTTTATCATATCTTCCAATGTGAAATGGATTAAATTAAATTAAAATACAGTATATTGTAATATTCAGATAACATTATTCTAAGGGTTTTTCAGAATCAACAAAAATCCTCGAGCCGACAAACTGTTTCAATAGTAAAACTATAATATAGACATTATTTTGTGTATTTGTGTAATTCAATTTAGCTCAACAGCAAAATAAATCGAAGTAAATCAAAGCAAATTTCGTATTCCAATATTACAGCCCTCCATGCCAAACAGTATGTACATACAGTTAGGGCCAGAAATATTTGGACAGTGACACAGGTTTTGTTATTTTAGCTGTTGACACACATATGTTCAGAAATACAATTTATATATAGTATGGGCTGAAAGTGCACACTCCCAGCTGCAATATGAGAGTTTCCACATCCAAATCGGAGAAAGGATTTAGGAATCATAGCTCTGTAATGCAGAGCCTCCTCTTTTTCAAGGGACCAAAAGTAATTGGACAATGGACTCTAAAGGCTGCAAGTAACTCAAAAGGCCTTTCCCTCGTTAACCTGTAATCAAGTAAGTAGTTAAAAGGTCTGGGTTGTTTCCAGGTGTGTGGTTTTGCATTTGGAAGCTGTTGTTGTGACCAGACAACATGCGGTCAAAGGAGCTCTCAATTGAGGTGAAGCAGAACATCCTGAGGCTGAAAAAAAGAAAAAATCCATCAGAGAGATAGCAGACATGCTTGGAGTAGCAAAATCAACAGTCTGGTACATTCTGAGGAAAAAGGAATTGACTGGTGAGCTTGGGAACTCAAAAAGGCCTGGGTGTCCACGGAAGACAACAGTGGTGGATGATCGCCGCATACTTTCTTTGGTGAAGAAGGACCCGTTCACAACATCAACTGAAGTCCAGAACACTCTCAGAGAAGTAGGTTTATCTGTCTCTAAGTCAACAGTAAAGAGAAGACTCCATGAAAGCAAATACAAAGGGTTCACATGTAGATGCAAACCATTCATCAATTCCAAAAATAGACAGGCCAGGTTAAATTTGCCCAAAAACACCTCAAGAAGCCAGCCCAGTTCTGGAAAAGTATTCTATGGACAGATGAGACAAAGATCAACCTGTACCAGAATGATGGGAAGAAAAAAGTTTGGAGAAGAAAGGGAACGGCACATGATCCAAGGCACACCACATCCTCTGTAAAACATGGTGGAGGCAACGTGATGGCATGGGCATGCATGGCTTTCAATGGCACTGGGTCACTTGTGTTTATTGATGACATAACAGCAGACAAGAGTAGCCGGATGAATTCTGAAGTGTACCGGGATATACTGTCAGCCCAGATTCAGCCAAATGCTGCAAAGTTGATCGGACGGCGCTTC